TTTTTTTGACCCTAATGTTTTTTTGACCCTAATGTTTTTTTGACCCTGACACAAACAAACCCACAAACACACACACAAACTATTTTTTTTGTATGACCCTCCTTTCAGTCGAGGGAATATCATGAATAGCGAAGTTAAAAAAAGTAATGCAACATTGACGTGTATAATTAAGTAATACATACAAGAGAGTAAATAAACCTGTATCAAATTTTATATTGAATGTCCACATTGCTCCATACATCATTAAAAATATTATATTGATATAGCTATTTGATAAGATCGTTTCGATACAAGTACAAATCATAAATAGAGTAGTTTTAATCACTTTACGCCTAGATATATCAATATTTAATGAATGAAACTAAGATTTTCAAGACAAAATGTTCCTTTATTTTTCGATAAATTAAACTGATCAGTAAAATCTATATAGTAAACATTCGAAAATAAAGTTTGAATGGACTTCACAGCTCAAAAACAAAAAACCATACACACTAGAAGTCAAATTTATTTTAAATAAATCAAAAGAACGAATAAACATTTCTCTACAAGAAAATAAATACACTTCGTTACTTTTGCTGAGGAGAATAACAAAACAATTTCAAACAAAATACGGTCTCATTCTTTATCTCGTTTGATTTGTTAGTTGCAATTGTCTTCGTTTTGGAACGAGTACAATATCGTGATTTTAAAATAATATATTATAGGTTCTATTGTCTTTCTTAACCAGTCGGAAAAGCAAGGAATAATTTGTCTTAAAACTTTCAGTCCATTCATTAATTTATATATTAGTCATAGAATGATGCACATACGTTCTTATATGACGAATTTTTCTTTCGAATGCTGATTCCCCACAATACATTTTCACAATACGCATTGATTTGATAATCTCCGACATCATTTTGACATGTTCATCAGTTATTTTCAAAATTTCAGTACTAAAAGTTATGAAGTTTTTATTATTTCCATGAGAACAATGCAGAGGCAAAGGGACAAACCGTAAATGAAGAAATAGACGACTGAATAATGGTTGAATCAATAAGAGCAATAACGTATATCCAACAGCAATAAAAGTAATATACTTAACAAACTGCCACAATAGGACAATAATAACAATGATTTGTAACGGAGCGACCTAAAAGAAAATCATGTGATCATTCATTTCAGATTCTCTTAACTACATACACATAAATAGTTTAAACAATGTAGAACTACTTCTGCTTGCTGAGCATCATTTGCTAATAAATTCGTAATTTGACCAGAACTAAAATTACTCATTGCATGACTTCATAAACGAAGTCCTTTTTTTTTTTGAATATACGATAAGTAAAACTACTATATCATCAATTATTGTCAATTTACTTTTCGAAAGATTAAATCACTATAAGCTACTCTCATTTGTATAGCACACGTGTGGACACGATACACGTACTATAAAAATCGAAAATGATCTATATATAAATGATATTAATTAACTAATCGATACTACTTGGTGAGAAAGTAGATTCATACATAATAGTGACAAATAACAGCGGAAGCTGTTAACCAAGCTTGCCACGAAAACATTGTTGAACATGGCTCGAAAAATCTTATTAAATAGATGACTAATAATGGTTGAATAATATTTAATACTTCCTATTACAAAAAAAAATGTCAACATTTGTTATTTATATCGATGAGACTCTGAATCAATAATAAAATGATCAAAGTAAATTCAAAATTGATCATCTTTACTCACAAATGGAATTAATAAAAGACCAATTAGGAGGATGTGGGTGTGGTTGGGTGTGTGGGTGTAGGTGCGAGGTGTGGGTGGCTGTGGCTGTGGGTGTGAGTGTCTGCTTTGCGATCTACAGCCACATACACCCCATCCACACCCACACCCACACCCACACCCACACACCCACACCCACACACCCACACCGCACACCCACACCCAGTCGCGGCGCGAAGAGGTCCAAGCAGAGGGGGGGAGGGTAATGTGAAAACGGGAGAAAAGTTAAAAAAAAAATTTTTCTTATGTCCAGTGTCCATGTTTTTCGGAAAATTTTCTGTACAGGTTACCCAAATTTTCGGAAAACTCAAAACTGAAGAGCAAAAAAAAAAGGTCTTCAGTTGGATTTTTAGGAGACTTTTGTACCTCAGCAGCTAGTTTTCGAGCCGAAAGTCGCAGAAACTATAGCCCAAAATGAGAGAAAGTACTTCTCAAAAATGGGAGAAAGCAAAGTCCGAAATGGGAGAAAATATCACTCATATTCTCCAAAAGCCGGAGGGGTACCCTCCCGCGACCCCCCGGTCGCGCCGCCGCTGCCCACACCCCACACCCGACACCCACACCCACACCCACACCCACACCCACACTCACCCACATCCACACACCCCCGACCCACACACACTCCTACCCCCGCACCCACCCCCACAACCACGCCCACACCCTCTCCACTGTTTTTCCAATAACTCTTGATGGGTAATATCTATCGAGTTCGGATTTTCAGCAAATGCTAGAGCACTCTAGGGAACATCTATCGATATAAAATTCATTGAAGTGAAAAACATATGTCATGGTTTCTTACCAATTAATATTTTCTACAATATGGTATCTCAGTACCTGATTGATACTACATTTATTTCTCAATGAAAATTCATGATGTTGTCAAACGGCCTACGAAAGTTTCACTCTAATTATACTTTTCTTACATATTAACATGCTGAGCACTTCTTTTGAAGTCTTGGAAGATTTTCATAGGGTTGC